ACCCCCAGTTCCGAATCCCTCTGCGGCTTCCCGTCATCTCTCTAGGGACGATGAAAGCATCTGGATTGGGTCCACTCCTACCTTCAATCGCGACATGACACGATTCCCCAGAGCCCGATCAAACTCCCAGTTGGCCGGCGCTACTCTGTGCGTCTCGTTGCCAAGGCGACGGAAGGGCTAATCCGCCTCTTGGATTGGATGAACCAACGACACTCCTCTCAGCGGAGTACGCAGGCTCAGGTGCATTCGAGAGCCTGGAGGCTCTTGCGCGACTATCCCCTCAGGTACCTCAACCTTCTCCCAGCCCCACCTCTCCGCCCCCTGGCCAGAGGCTGCCTGCGTGCCTCGGACACCCACCACCCAGCACCTAACCCTAACCCTAACTACACTTCCCTTGACCTAACAGCGCTGCGTCTGAAAAGTTGCTAGCTTGGTACTAAGTTTCCTTACTCGAGGAAGGTCCCTCACTAAGTCACGTGGTCGATGGGACAGTCGGTAACATGGCCCATCAGTCAGCTTTGCTTTCTCCCAGTCACTTTCTAATTCTTAAGCACCAACTGTGTGCCAGAACACACCTCAACCCCTGCAGCAGCCTCCTGACCAGTCTACTCGTGCCTACCCTTGCCCTATCCATTCTAATTCATTCTGTGCCCTGCAGCCAAAGGGCTCTTTAAAACACAAATCAGATCATGTCTCTCCCCTACATATAACCTTCCATGGCTCCCCATCACCGTTAATATAAGGACTGGATGGAATTTCTCACCTTGACCAACAAGGCTCTTACTGATCTGGCACCTGAGGACTTTGCCAGCCTCTTCTGTCCTGCTGTTTGCCCCCTGCTCTCCCCACTCCAGTCTCCGACCTTCTTTCAGTTACTAGTTTAACCCTTGTTTCTCATCCCCACACTCCCATAGACACACATATCTCTATTAAGCCTGAGGTTCCCTTAGCTGGTGGCTCTTGTCACCCTCTCTGCTCAGATTTCAGCTTGCATTTTACCTCAGAAAAAGCCTTCTCTGACTACCCACTCCTCTAAGCAGGTTCCTTTGTTTTAAGTCTTCAATGTCTAACCCCAAGGAAGACAAGCACCAGGAAAGAAAAGACCGAGTTGTGGGTTTTCTTGTTTTTGTTTTATTTCATTTGGGGCCCTTGTGTTCCCAGAGCTTAGCACGATGCCTGGGACTTGGCAGATGGCCAATAATGGATAAATAAGAAATTAATTAAATGGATAGTTACAAACTATGGGGGCGGGGAAGAAAACACAGGAAACCCTAGATAAATATTCAAAAGAATTAAAAACAGGTACTCAAGCACTTGTACATGCATGTTCATAGAACACAATTTACAATAGCCAAAAGGTAAAAACAACCCAAATGTCCATGAATGGATAAACAAGTCATAGTGTATACATACAACAGAATATTATTCAGCCATAAAAGGGAATGAAGTACTGATACATGCTGACATGCCAAGTACTGATACTGATACATGGATGAGCCTCAAAAACATTATGCAAAGTGAAAGAAGACAGATATAAAAGGCAACATATTGTATGATTCCATGTATAATGTCTGGAATAGGTAAATCCATAGAGACGGAAAACAGATTGGTGGTTACCAGGAAATGTTCATGTCTCTTAGAATTGCATGGTCAAAAAAACGAAACAAAACAAAACAAACAAACAAAAGAACTGCACAGTCAGATGGTAAGTATACGCTTAACATCATGTATTATTGGTATATAAGTTATACTTAACTATGAAAATGTTTTCCAAAGTGTTTGTACAATTTTACATTCCTACCAGCAGTGTATGATAAGTTCTGGTTGCTGCACATCCTCATCAACATTTGGTTTTATCCATCTTTTTCATTTTAGCTGTTGCAGTGATAGCTCATTGTAGTTTTAAGTAATTGAGGGTGGGCTGACTAGGAATGACAGAAGGGAACTGGGAATGACAGAAGGGTGATGGAGATTTCCATCTTTTAATAAAGATGTGGGTTACATGTGTATAGCACGCATCAAAAGTGACTGAATTGAAAAGTGAAGATCTATGCATTTCATTATTTGTAAGTTTTACCTCAATAAAAAAATGAGTAAAGAGAAAAAAATCCAACAGCAAGTTTCCCTATTAATGGTGACATTTAAGAAGCATGCTGACTAAAGTCAGGGAAGGGTGTGAATGCTAATTATCTCTGCTACTATTTGACATTAAACTGGGAATACTGGTCAATGCAATAACACAAGAAATAAAAATAAATCACTGGTATCAGATTTGGAAAGGAAGAGACAAAGTTGTCATTTGCAGATTGCTTGAGAGCTGTACTGTTCACCATTTTTGATTACAAAATGTAGAAACTATCTCTGATTAAACTAGAAATGAAATTCATTGGTGGGATATTAGATGAGTCACAGAATTGACAGGAAATTCGGATAATCAGAATTTTAAAAGGGGCAGGAGTCTAGGGAGTCTAGCTGATCAAAAACTATAGTCAAAATCAGGGTTCACAGAAACTTTGTTTGGAATGCTTTTGCTAATTATTGCTGGACATTGGACACCACTGCTGATAATGACTGCTGCAAATGGCACTGAACACTGGATGCCATTGCTGGTACCATCACCTCTATTCAATAGATATCCCTGCTAGTGCCAGTACTGGCCACGTGAATTCTCAAAAGACACCTGTTTAATTGTACTATTTGCTTCAGATTCAAAGTCCTCTTCACTAAGAGCATATAGTTAACTGAACTCAGATTCACAAACTCTGCTCTACCTGCCAAGGCCAGTGTACTTGCCTCTTCTTACCTCACACAGTTAGAAGTGTGGAAGATGCTGCTAGTTGCCTATACAATATCCATTCTTCCCTTCTTCTGAGACAGAAGTCTACCAGAACTGTCTGCATTTAAAAATCCAAAAGAATCTACAGAGAGATTACTAGAACAAAGGAAAGACCTTTTAAAAAAAATTAATACAAAAATAACATTTGAGTGTCTATATACCAATCACAGCATATTAGAAACTGTAATTAAAAATTTATAGCAACAGTCAAGGGTTCAGATCCCCCAACCGGCCAGCTGCACAAAAAAAAAAAAAAAAAAAAAAATTATTGCAACAAAATATAAGATATGTAGGAAATAGACCTAACAAAATATATGCAAGACATTTCATTAAACAATAAAATCTTATTAAGCATCTACTCTGTGTCCTGCCCTGTTCCTGACTCTGAAGATACAAGTGAATGAAACCAACAATGCACCTGCCCCTGTGGAGTTTTTATTCTCATAGAGAAAATTACAAAATATTATTGGAGGACATTAAATAAGGCCTGAATAAATGGAAGGTTATTCCATGTTCATGGATGAGAAGACTAAATATTAGAAATATGTGTTTTCCCAAAATCCAGTCAGGATTTTTGAAGGATCTTGTCAAAACCAGGGAGACACTTCTGTGCCATCAAGTCCTATTGTGATTCAGGGAGAGGCAAATATCAGTGGAAAACAATGAAAAGCCTAGAAACAGACACAGGTGTGTGTGTGTGTGTGTGTGTAAATTTGATGTATAATAGAGGTGGCATCATAAATCAGTGGGGAAAGGATGGAGGACACAGTAAATCGCACTGAGAAACTCACTTTCCACAGGGTTGAAAAATACATGCCGAATTCAAGTGGATTAAAGAATAAATATGATAAATAGTTTAGATGTATATGTCTATTTTTATGATCTCAAGGTGCAGAAGGATTTCTAAGATAAGCAATAATAAAGGACTACTCATAAAGAAAAAAGTTGATCTGTGACTACCTCAGAATTTAAACTGGCATATAACAAAAGTCATGGTAAACTCAATTAAAAGACAAGCTACATGGGCTGGCTGGTTAGCTCAGTTGGTTTGAGCACGGTGTTGATAACACCAAGGTCAGTTCAGATCCCTGTACTGGCCAGACACCAAGTAAGTAAATAAATAAATAAAATGTTTTTAAAAAATGCTGCAGACTAGGAGAAAATACCTGCAACGTATGTAGCAATGAGCTGGTGCTCAAAAAACTTCTACAAATCATTAAGAAAAAGACACCTCCACCCTCGCAAAAGAAAAAGAAATGAGCAAAGGATATGAATAGAGAATATTCAGAAATTCAAGTGGCCAGTAAACCAATTGAGAAATGTAAATTAAAGCAATTACATGATTTGAAATACATCAGCTATATAAAAATAAAAACATATATCAATGTTTTTGTGAGGCCAAATATTAGTGAGGATGTGGGGAAACAGGAACGTTCATATGCTGCTCATACCCTCACACTTTGCAAGGCAATTTGGCAATATCTCGTGAAGTTGGAAATGCACACACTCACAACCTAGCAACTCCATTAATAGACATATATCCTACAGGCACAGGGAAAACAGCTGCAGAACCCTGTGGAGTACCTTTCATCTTGTAGCTAATGTGCAAGGTGACAACCTTTCCTAAAGAAATTTATGCACCTGTATATTAGTCATATATATAAGGATGTTCTCTGCAATATTCTTCATAATAGTGGAAAATATTAGAAATAATCTACATGTCCACTGTTAGGGTAACAAATGAATAAACTAGGATATGTTCTAATAATAAAACACTATACAGGGGCCGGCCTGTGGCTCACTCGGGAGAGCGCGGTGCTGATAACACCAAGGCCACAGGTTCGGATCCCATATAGGGATGGCTGGTTTGCTCACTGGGTGAGCGTGGTGCTGACAACACCAAGTCAAGGGTTAAGATCCCCTTACCAGTCATCTTTAAAAACAAACAAACAAACAAACAAACAAAAAAAACACTATACAGCAATAAAAATGATCCAGATCTAAATCAACATGGAAATGTCCCCCAAAACTATTGTCAAGTGAATAAAAGAAAGTTGTAGAATGATAAATTTTTTTTAAAGGTTGAAATTTGTGTGTTAGTTATAAGCACATGCAAAAGTATATTCTATATTCTTATGTGTATGCAGGAATTAAAAGTTTAAAAGCATGAACTCAAAAGATACACATGAAGTTCATGATAATGGTTGCCTGTGGGGAGTGAAGGAAGTGGGGAGAGAAAAGGGAACTCCAACTACTTCAAGTTTATTTGGGCTATTTTGTTTTATTTAAACAACACAGTTGAAGCAAATAGGTCAAAGTAACCTTACTTGAATTCAAGATTTTTTTTTTTTTGCAAATGAAAAACACACAAGCTGTAACAACAATATGATAAAGGAAGTATAGGATGCTTTGGGAATGCATAACAGTGGGGTCTAAACAAGTCTAACTGGGGTCAGTAAAGACTTCCAGGAGGAAATAGGAGTTAGCCTGGCAAAGGGGAAGGGAAAAGCATTTCAAGCAGAGGGTATGGCATGTGCAAAGTTGGAAGTCAGAGAAAGCAAAGAATTTTGAGGAAATGAATGCAGATCAGTGACCAGGAAAGTGTGGAGAAGAGAGGAGAGAAGAGGCTGCCAAAACTACATGCTTTTATTTGTTTCCTTTTCTACACGTGTGAAAATAGAGCCCCAGTGAGAAGAGTAGAACCCAGACCTCCCAACTTCCCTCAGTTGTTCCCTGATAATAGCAGCAACGATGATAATAATGGCGATGATACTGTATGCCATTCTCTCTGCTAGGTACTTTAAATATGTCATCTCATTTAATCTCACTACAGACCTATAAGGAGTTTTTCCTCCGTTTTTACAGATGGTGAAACTGGGGCCCAGAGAAGTTAATAAACTTGCTCAAGGTCACGGTGGCTGAAGCTAGATCCCACAGGCCTCATGTGCTATGCTAAGCAGGTTGGACTTTTTCCCAAGGGCATTGGTGAGTACATGAGCTTCCTACTGCTGCTGTAAATTACCACAATTTAGTGACTTGAAACAGCACGAAGGTATTATCTTTCAATTCTTCGGGTCAGAAGTCTGAAATGGGTCTCACTGGGCTACAGTGAAGGTGTCAGAAGGGCTGTGTTCCTTCTGGAAGATCTAGCGGAGGATGTTTCGTTGCCTTTTCTACCACATTCCTTGGCTTGTGGCCCCTGCTTATCCTCAAAACCAGCAATCACGCCTCTCCTCTGACCCCCACTCCTGTCACCCCTGTGATTCATACTCTCCTGCCTTCCTCTTTCACTTGTAAGGACCCTTGTGGTTACATTGGGCCCACGTGAATAATCCAGGATAATCTCCAGGTCAGCTGATTAGAAAGTGTAATTCTATCCTCCCAGGTAACATAACATATTCACAGTTTCCAGGAATTACTGCATGTACATCTTTGCAGGGGGTGGGGGGTGGGGGCATTATTTTGCCTTCCACAAAGAACCACTGAAGGGTTTTAAGCAAGGGAATGACAGAGTGAGACCTGCATTTTAGCATCTTCAAATTATTGGTTTTGTAAAACAGTCACTTCATGATTTATTTAAGACAAATTGGGTTTACGGCAATAATTAACACTTTCAAAGGCTGAATAGTACATGGATATTGAATGTGTTAAGTCTAATAGCTACATCTGTTTTTTCGTTTGTTTGTTTGTTTTTTCAGGGCTTTTAACCTGACAGAGTTCTTTCATACATGTGATTTGATTATTCCCCTAACAACCAAATGGAGGTACAAAGACCTGTTATAATTGCCCCTTTATGGATGAGGAAACAGACCCAGGAACATTCGTTCATCTGCCTAGGTTCATGAGTTAAGGCCAGGGTCATGATGAGGAAGTAGTCTTCAGGCTCCTTTATCAGCATTTTTTAATGCCATCCTTGGGTAGGGCATTCTGGGAAAATCAAGTCAGATGTCAGCACATCTTTGGTGCAATTTTCCACATATAGCTTGGTGCCCTGGGTCCTTCTTACATGTGTGGTCACAGCCCAAATGTCACCTGTTCAGAGAGGTTCTCTCTGACCACCTCCCCTACTTCGTTTCCTGCATAGAAAACTATGACCATTTGTAAATGCTTTGTCTATTTGCTTATTTTGTTTGTCCTTCCCTCCTAGATCTGAAATGTCCAATATGTAGTTACTAGCTACACATGGCTATTAAGCATTTGAAATGCAGCTTGTGTGAATTAAGATGTGCTCTAAGTTTAAAATACACAACAGATTTCGAACTTAATAAGGATATAAAATATTTCACTAATAGCTTTAAAATGTTGACTACATGTTGAAATTATAATATTTTTGATATATTGGGTTAAATAAAAATATTATTAACAATTAAATTGTTTTTACATTTTTAATGTGGCTACCAGAAAACTTAAAATTACACACGTGGTTGGCATTATATTTCTATTGGGCAGTGCTAGTCTAGACTGTTAACTAACGAAGGTGGGAACTGTTTCTCCCTTATCCCCTGCTGTGTCCCTAGTACCTTCCAAATAGTAGGTACTCAGCAAGTGTTTGCTGAGTAATTTTATTTTTATGAGCACTCTGGACACAGAGAGAGCTGAGACAGGCAGCCACATGTATGCTGTAAACTTGAGGAAGGAAGAAACATGAAGGAAACAGTTTTATTTTTCTCCAGTCACTGCATTTCAAATGGGATCTGTGGACTCTCTGTCGTGCTCTGTACGACTTTTGCCTCATAGTCACCTACTACTATAGATGGAGGGGCAAGGGGATGGCTGGAGGGAAAAAGCAGGTTCAGTTCCTTCTATTTCTGTCTCATAGGAGGTGTCTGGTCTCTGTTATTTTACATTCTGCATCTTTGGTTCTAGCAGCCAGGAAGGGCTCACTTCAACATCCTGAGACATACAGATAGGGTCAGCTGGGGCCCCAAGGGGACTTTCCCAGGGTCACCTAGCAGGTCAGAGGTGAACAAAGCTTCCAATGTTGGTCTACAGACTCACCTTCCAGAACTCTCACCTCTAACTACATCCTGTTGTAGTCTCCTTTACTACAAGGGACCCAGGGGCCTGGAACACCTCCATCTGCCCCTGTTTAACTGTCTGATTTCTCGGGCCCCTAATGGCAGTTATTCTTGGTCCCAACAGAGCTTTCCTAGATGGCACCGTGCTCATAGGGACCGCAGTGGGTGAAGGAAGGGATGGGAGGACGGATGGGTGGGTGAGTAGGAGAGGAGGAGGGCTGGCTGCTAGGATGGCTGCATGGGTGCGGAGGAACTACCCACTTTTCTGGTGACAAATAGAAACTGAAGAGCTGAGAGCCCTTAGCCATCAAGGTCCAGCCCCCATCACGTTTCTACTAGAAATCCCAGGCTGGAGAGCTGGGTGCTTTGCCCCAGGGCCCGCCGGAAGGTCCGGGTAGAGCTGCAACTGGGATCTGAGTTTCTGGGCCCCAGCCGGGGGGACTCTTTATGACATGTCCCCATCCGCCCGCGCCTGACGGTGCCAGGGTGGGGGGAGCGCCCCCCGGAGGTGGCGGCCCCACGCGGCCCAACAAGCCGCCGTTGTCCCGCGGGCCGTGCGCCCGGCACACTGGGGCTTTGTCCGGGCCCCGCCTCGACCCGCAGCGGGGGGCGCACATGACCGCGGGGTAGGAGGAGCCTGCGGCGGCGGCTGGGCAGGGCTGGGCACGGCCGCGGACGCCGGGTCCCCCGTTCCCCGCCACGCTGCAGGCGCCGGGCCCGGGCCGTCAGGGACGCTGTGACCCAAGCGCTGTCCGGGAGGCGAGCTGGGGGTGCGCCCGGACCCCCGCCCCCGGGATCATGGGGAATGGCATGACCAAGGTAGGGGGGCGGGGGCCGCGCAGCCCTCCCCTGGCCGCCCCCGACCTTCTGGTCCCGCTCTGAGCCTCTGATGAGTGGCTACATCTCTGTCTCGCTGTGACTCCGAGACTGCCTGCGTCTCTGTCTCTGCCTGTTTCTGTCCTCTCCCTCCTGCTGTGGCTGTATCTCTGGCTGGGTCTTCCGTGGCTCTCTGTCACTCGCAGACTGTGCAGCTCAGTGAGTCCGCTCCTCTGTCTCTCTGTGTCTCTCCCTTGTCTCTGACTCCCCGGACTCTCTCTCTCTGGCGCTGCTGCTCCATCCTTTGCCCCTCTGCCTCTGCGTGACCCTCCACCTGTCCCTGGCTTCCTGCCTGCCTCCATCCCAGAGTCCTCCCCCACTGACCCAGCAGGTCCCCCTCTCTCCTGGCCCCACTTCTCTGTGCTCCTCTTACCTCTCCCCCCAGGGCTTTCCACCACTGCCTCCACTGTCCCCCTCAGCCTCCCTCTTCTTCCCTCTCATCACACCCAAGGTGGCCTCCCTTGGTCCCTCCCTGTAGTTAACTTGCCCCCTCCCCTCCCCCCAGAGTTACAGAACCTTCTCACAGAGGGCCCAAGCCCCCTGAGAGGTAGGAGATTGCTCCCTGAGCCCCAGGTCCAAACACCCTTCAGGGGACAGTGAGAGACTATGGCCTCGCAGCCGCCGGGGTGGGAAGAGGGTGCAGCCCCTGCCCCGCTGACCCCTGCCTGTCCTTCCTATAGGTACTTCCTGGACTCTACCTCGGAAACTTCATTGGTGAGCACTGCCCACTCTGTCCCAAGGCCATGGCATTCTGCCTGTCGCAGGCCTGTGTCCACCATTCATGCTCTGGCCCACGCACCTTAGATGCACTCAGGAATGGGGCTGGGGGCAGGGAAGCCATGCCTGGTTGGAAGGGGAAAGGGCTCATGGAGGACTAGTGGGTACATGGGTTGGGGAGTGTCCCCAGGCCTGACAGGACATGGAGGGAGCAGTAAGAGTCTGACACTGCCATCCTCCCCCCATTCAACCTTCCACCAATGTCACCCCACGAGGTCAAAGGGACAGAGCAAAGGTCTCAGGACCTGAGCTGTGGACCTGGGCATGTGTGCACCTGCTCTGAGCCTCAGCCTCCTCCTCAGCACAAGGCCCACCAGCCTCTAAGGGCTCTTCTGGCATTGAGGTTCTGGACTGAGGTCTGTTTGGGGGTGCTGCTTCTAGCTGGGAAGCTGAGAACCCTTTCCCCCACAACCTCCTCCTCAGAGGAGAGGTCTCTGGAAACTGGGACTGGGACCTCCAGTAAGCAGGGTCTGAGCACCAACCCCACTGCCCATGGGAGCCTTGAGATGAGCAGTGGGGTGGGCTGGTGCCGAGAGGTGGCGAGCCTGCATCTCTCGCATTCCTCGTCTCTTGTCTCCCCCTTCCACGATATTCAACCAGGGGGAAGGGACACAGACGGATAGACACCCCATCCCTGCCCTCAAGGGCTTCCAGGTTGGTGGTAGGGAGGCAGATCTGAACACAGACCTTTGGCTGCAGAATAGAAAACGTGCAAAGAGACAGGTCGGTCTGGGGCTTGGGGGACTCAGGTGGCAAAAGTCACCTCCATCTGCGGAGTCAGAGAAAGCTTCAGAGGGGGAGGGGCTCAGGTGCTCCAGCCTCATTAACCCTGGTCCCTTCCTTCCTGGGAGCTACCGCAGCAGCTCATGCCACATTGATATCTGTGAGTATCTGTCTAAGTAAGGTCTGAACCTCTTTAAGTGTGTAGGTACCATGAGGGCGGGAGCCACGAAGGTGACCCCAGCCCCCCAGTGTCCTGCCAAAGGCTGCACACAACAAGCACTCAGTAAATGTTTGTTGAAGGAAGTGGACATAGATAGAGGGATATGTACTATTTATCCTGATTATAAAAGGTCTGCACGCAGTGGATATACAGCCGCTAGAGATGGCCACTGATAGGAGTGTGGGGTATATCCCTGGGTCGTTTTTCATATATCTTTGTAGATACAGATATAATATTTAAAACAAAAATGGAAACCTATTTTGCACACTGTTCTGGAAGCTGTGCTCCTCCCTTAAAAATATATTGTGGACATCCTTAAACATCAGCACATAGAGATCTTTTTAATGGCTGCACAATATTAAAGTATGGATATACCATTATTTATCCAGTCCCTTTTGGATGGACATTAGGTTGTTCCCATTTTTTAACTATTTCTGATATAAGCAGTACTGCAGAGAACATCATCCTCTATACACGGTTCCCTTGTGAGCACATGCTTCTGTAGATAAGATTCCTAGAAGTAGAATTTCTGTGTCAAAGGACTTGCTAAGTAGGGTGTTTTGGATGGAAATAGTATAAGCAATACCTGCGAAGTGCTGGGCTGTTACTGGGGGCGCCCCAGAGGCAAGACTGAAGCCTAGGGGAGTGAAAGGATCTGTCATGCCTGGAGCAGGAGGTGGGGATGGAGCAGGGAGCCAGCAGAGGGTGAGCCAAGGTGGAGTGGGAAGGGAGAGGAGGGGAGCTGGCAGGAGCTCCCTCTGCACTTGACCATCGAGAACAAATAAGTCACACCTTCCAGATTGGCTCAAGTATCCTGTTTCTTTCAGATGCCAAAGACCCGGATCAGCTGGGCCGGAATAAGATCACGCACATCATCTCTATCCATGAGTCATCCCAGCCTCTGCTGCAGGTACTCCTTACCCCCGTCCCAGAGCACTGCGCGGGTGGGGAGGGTGGGCTGCAGGCCCATTTATCAGGTATCTACTATGTGCTATTAAGTATCTCCTCTGTTGCCTTCTTGATCCATGCTAACTCATTCAGTCCTCACCACTGGACTGTTTTACATTATCATCCCTATTTGGCAACTGAGGCCCAGAGAGGTAAATTGACTCACCTAAGGTCACATATCCAGGAAGCTGGGTTTGAACACAGGTCATCTGGCCCCGAAGATCTGACAGTGACCATAAAAGGGCCCCCACATGGGCTTCCCATTGCCCAACTGGATGAATGATTTCAAATAGATGACTCTGGACGCTGTGTCTTGCTGTGCAACCTTGAGCTGTGATTTCACCTCTCTGGGCCTTTGCTCCCTCAGCCTGTTGGCCCCACAGGGCTGTCGTGAAGATACAACAGGACTGCAGGATGGTGAAGATGCTTTGCACACTGTAAAGCATGGTCCCCACCAGACAGGTTGATGAAGGTGTCAAGACCCAGGGGAGGAAAGTAGATAATCCAGACCACACGTGCTGGAGTCAAGAGACCCGAGTTCACATCATCATCACTTATTCTATCTGTGACCTTGGGTGCAGGACTGCACCCTCTAAGCCTCAGTTGCCTGATCGGTATAATGGGAATTTTATAACAGTACCTACCTCACTGAATAGTTGGGAGTCACATAGTAGGTACTCAAAAAATTACAACTGATATAATAACAAAGTTAATAACCTTATTCCATAAACAGAGCCCCTTCCTCCTTATCTGTTAGAGTCTGTGTTATTCACTAAAGAGAAAGAATCGTGGGTGGGAAAAGGCCCTGGAGATCTGAGGTTCTGCCAAGACTTGCTGTGAGACCTCAGTCAGGGTCTGTCTCCTCTCTAGGCCTCAGTTTTCCCATGTGTCAGATTTGATGGTCTCTAAGAGCAACCTCTAATAATCTGTGATTCTCAGTGTCATCCAAAGAAGAAATTTCCAAGTAAATGAAGGCTGATTTTGCTTTAGAGGACAGCCTTGTTTTGAAGTATTTGGAGTAAGCAGTCACCATATTGCATGGGGAAGGTTGTCAAGGCATGAATATATTTACTAATGACACGACTGCTAACAAAGGTGCCCCTGCCCAAGCAGCCCTCCCCTCTTACAAGCGTCCCTGTCTCTCCATCCATCAGTGAATTTACCAGTCAGGGTTTGATAATGCCATGCAAACCCAAAGCCAAATGTGTTGCAAAGTGAAATTGTAAACCTTGCAAAAGAGGCAGGATTTCGTGTCCTTGGGGAAAGTGAGTTAGAGAAGGGCTGGAATCTCACACAAAGCCATGAACTAATGAGAACCTAATTGGTGGCCCTTTAACCACTGGCCAGTGGTGGGCAAGGCACCTGAAAAGAGCCCTTTGAATATCAAAGTATTGAGGGAGGTACTTGAGGAAGGCAGTGTGGTTCTCAGAACACGGGCGAAAATAATCTTTACGATACTGTGTGGAGGTTAAGCATGAAGCAAAGAATATCACAGCAAGTTTGTTGAATAAATTACTGACAATTTATTCCTCAATTATTCTAATAATTAGCACTTAGTTTTATAACTGTAATTTATGAAATGTTAACTTGTTTTTGTAATTTTTGTTTCTTTTCAAGATAATCAAATCTGCTTTGCCCTTTTTACTATGTAATTTGTAATCCCCATTCAGAAGGGAGTCACTTTAAGCATCTTTTCCCAGCTATGAGGCAGAAGGTCACTGCGTTCTTTTTATCAAGTCCTTGAGTCCAAGTCACCCATGAGGTTAGGACATCATCTGCTCACAAGGTTCTGGAATCACATGATGGTCAGAGCTGGGAGGTCCTCAGAGATGGTGTCTCCTTTCTTTGGACAGAAAGGACAGCAGTGGCCCAGAGAGAGGCAGAAACTGGGCTGGGGTCACACAGTGCTTGGGCAGCTCTGGCCAGGGGAGGAGGGGTGCAGGCAAGGCCCCCTGCCTGAGTGTATTTTGTACTTGCAGGATATCACCTACCTTCGCATCCCGGTGGCCGATACCCCTGAGGTACCCATGTAAGTTCTCCTGGATGGGCCAACAGATAGGGATGTGGGGAGGTGGCCTGAGCGAGGACAGAGAGTACTCAGGCCAGAAAGCTGTCACAAGTGGTCACCCAGACCCGAGTTTGCCTCTATCTCAACCATGCCCTTGCAGTATGCCCCTGACCAAGACTCTTAATCTTCCTGAGCCTGTCTCCTCAGCTATGAAATGGAGAAAGTACCCTGTCTCTTGGGATTAGGTGCGCTAGCAGATTTGAAAGGGTCATGCTCAGCCTGTTCCTGACTTTGGAGTTAAGACATCTGGGTCTTGGCCAGGCTTTGTCATTTACTTGCTGTGTGACCTTGGACAAATTACTTCCCTTCTCTGAGCCTCACCTGTAAAACAGAGGTGTGATCAGAGCCAAGGAGGCTTTCAAAGATCAGGTGACACAGATTGAGGCTCTAGGACAAGGCCTGGTATGTAACAAGGGCTCAGGAGATGGGACTTTTTTGTGTGTTATTAACAGCAGTGCTCCCCAATATGGCATAAACCCAGACAGACACTCCTGCCCCTTGGGAATCTTGTTCCCAGCCCATTGTGACCACGATTCTTCCCAGATGCTCTCATCGCAGTCCTCAGAGTGGGACCCCTGTGCCTCCTTCCACTGATTTCCTTGAAAAGCCAAAATAAGCCCACTGTGAAAATAGGATCCACAGGACCACTGGAGAGGTGCTCCTGCCTAGATGGTGGGATGTGCCACTGCTGGCCTTCCTTGCTGCCTGAAATGCCACCATCATTGCTTTACACACACCTCCACCTCGTACTATAGTACTGACCCCTACTCACTGCATGTGCTGGCTGGCCTGAGGACACCCAGGGCTCTTTGTCCCTTGCTATCCCATAAACAGGGAGGGGACAGCTCCTAAGAGACCTGCCCCCCACTGCTTCCTACCCTATTGCTTTCTTCTCTAGCAAAAAGCACTTCAAAGAATGTATCAACTTCATCCATTGTTGCCGCCTCAATGGGGGGAACTGCCTTGTGCACTGGTGAGTTGAGAGGGGAGACAGGGGAGAGAAAGTGACTGTCCTCTATCCTGAACCCACACTCATCCTATGGGGAAGGCAGAACCCACCTGGAGAGATCTCCAGCCTGTCACAATGCCTGACAGTCCACCATTCAGCTGGGAGAGGCCCACCAGAGGCTCAAATCAGGCCTCTGTTCCTTACCAGATATGTGGCCATGGCCAAGTAGCTTTTTTCCCTGAGACTCAGTTTCCTCATTTGGAAAATGGGGAAAAGAATGTTGACCTGACAGAGCTGTTGGGAGGGACAGGTGAGGTCATGTGGGTATCCCAGCAAGCCCCAATAGTTCCAGTGCCCCTTCCTCCCCTCCAGGCCTTTGAGGCAATGGTGCAGGGCAGTGGGGAACCCCTGGCTGGGAGATGGGACCTCTGAGTCTTCTCTGGTGCCCCTTGCCCTGCTGATGTCATTCATTGCATAACTTCTCACTGAAAACCTATCCTATGCCAGGCTCAGGCCCGCTCTGCCGCTCTGCCAGAGCCCAGCAGTGAGACCGGCACTCTCAAGCCTTGCCTCCCACCCCATCTCCTTCCTTCCCCCTTCCAGCTGCACTAACCTTCTCCCCATTCTTTAAATCTTCCAGGCTTCCACCTCATGGTTTTTGTATATGCTACCCAGAACATTCTTAACTAACTCTTACCCATCTTTCAAGATTCAGCTTGATGTCACTTCCTTAGGAACCCCTTCCCTAATCCTCCCCATTCTCTGCATCCCCACATTAGATTAATGTCTCTTCCTATGTGGATCCCTTAGCCCCAGATTCATCTTCAAAGCAATTTATCACTATCTGAAATTGTTTCTCTGGTTAGTGTCTGTCCCCCGCAATCATACTGTAAGCTCCAGGACAGCAGAGACCATGTGTTTTATTCCCCACTATATCCCCAATACCTGAAAAAGAACAGGTGCTCAGAAAATGTTTGTTGAACGAATGAATGATGTTTCATTCACTCAGGCCTTTGATGTGGGAGAATGCCACAGGATACTCCAGGCAGAGGAAAGAGCGTAGGCAATGGCCTGGGGATGGGAAGATAGGTCCTGACAGGTTCCTCGTGGCTGGTGCTCAGGAGGCACTGGTGGGAAAGCTGAAGTGGGCATGGAGTCCCTGTGGGAGGCGGGGCATGGAGGAGATTGGGACTTACCTAAAGCCTGGGGGTTGTGGGGATCCCAGCTTTGCAGGCATCTCCCGCAGCACCACCATTGTGACGGCATATGTGATGACTGTGACGGGCCTAGGCTGGCGGGACGTGCTTGAAGCCATCAAAGCCACCCGGCCCATCGCCAATCCCAACCCAGGTTTTAGGCAGCAGCTTGAAGAGTTTGGCTGGGGCAGTTCCCGGAAGGTAGGGACCCTAGGGCAGGGGCTGGGTTGAGCCTGGGGTGGGAGATCTTTCTTTCCATTTGAACTGAGCACTGATGGGAAAGAATTTAGTCTGTGCTTCAAACCTGGCAGAAGATTTTTCTGAGGTCTCAAACTCATGGCCCTTGAGCTAATCCAGCTCCAAGGTGTAGTTGCTTCCAACAGCCAGGTGTGTTCTTTTCTTTTCAAATATAGTATCTGAAGGCCTTTAGACCAGACTGTGGGCCCTTCCATTTGACCAGGTCTCCCAGCACCCCTACTGCCTGCTCTACCTGTCTGGAACCTGAAGGCATTTGAGTGACCTGTTGGGGAGGATTGTCCATGTCCTACTCTATCACTGGGTCTTTGATGAGGCCAAAACATTTCCTTCTCTTATACCTCTTGGGTAGATGGCACGTGGAAATGTCAGGAGTTGAGGCCCGCAGAAAGGCTCTCAGCGGGTGGTACCCAGTGGCTTATCTGCGGGGCTGCCTTAGGCAGGCAAGGAGGAGGCCCTGTGTGAGTGGAGTTGTTGGGACCACGGGACACAGAGGCACAGGGGGGAGGGATTAATGCAGTCCTCACTGTGCACATGGAGTCACTTTAGCAGGTCTGGAAGAGGGAGTTCAGCGAGAGGGAAGGGGCTCATAGACGGGAAGGAGGACCCACTGAGGGGATGGAAACTCCGAGAAGGGAGGCCAAGAGGGTGCTTCGGAAGGGAGGGGCTTAGCGAGGTGTGGGAAGCCAGGGCAGAGGTCGCGAGGATGGGGAGGGGGCGGGCCGGGATGTGACCCCGCCCCCTCGCCCGCCCACCCCCAGCTTCGCCTGCAGCTGAAGGAGCGCTTCGGGGACAGCCCTTTCCGCGACGAGGAGGAGGTGCGCGCGCTGCTGCCGCTGTGCAAGCGCCGCCGCCAGGGCTCTGCGACCTCGGCCGCGTCCGCCCCGCCGCACTCGAGCGCCTCCGAGGGAGCCTTGCAGCGCCTGGTGCCGCGCACGCCGCGCGAAGCCCACCGGCCGCTGCCGCTGCTGGCGCGCGTCAAGCAGACTTTCTCTTGCCTCCCGCGGTGCCTGTCCCGCAAGGGCGGCAAGTGAGGATCCCGCCCCGCCGTGACTCCCCTCTTCCTCCCGACGGGTCCCCTTCGGGAGTTGTCTGGGTCTCCCGCGGCCTCCAGGACGGGCCCAGAGGCTGCGGGAGCCCGCGGCGGCCTGATCCCCGCCCGCGATGCCCGCCTTTGCTTGTCTGCGTCTGCAGTGAGTGTGTCCTCCATCTGCGCGTCTCTGTGTCCGGCCGGCCTGCTGCAGCCACCTGGTGCCTTAGTCCTTGGGCTGGGGGAGGAGGCCCCCAGGCCTCCACCCTTAAAGACGGCGGGAGTCGGGGTAGGGGTGGGAGTTGAGGTTGGACAAGCCTGGAGGATATTAAAGAGACACAGAAGCTGACCATCTGAGTGCGCGTCCCAGTCATTCAGCAAAGGCAGGGCCGCAGGCGCAGGCCGGCTACCACGGGCCAGGCACCTGCAGGAAACAGGGACTGGAGGGAGTCTGCATCCCTTAGGGGCCTGAGGAGCCTACCACCCTCCAGGACTGCAGCCTGCAGAGCTGAACTCTGGGAACACACGCCCCTCTCTTCCTATCCCCCTCCCCAAGCATATTTCTCCCGGAGCCCTGGTCTTCTGACAAGGCCCCTGTCCCTTCTCCGTGAACCTCCTTCCACCTCTCTGAGCCCCCCTGCACCTTCCTCAAGGCCCCTCCCCTCCCAGAATCCTCTCCTGCACCCCAACTCCCTCCCATTTCCTATTCACAAATACTAGTTAGTAAGGCAAGGTAGTGCCCCCCCACACACCTGACCTTTTACTACATGAGCTCACTTAATCCTCAGGGAGGAAACTGAGGCTCAGAGAGGTCAAGCAACTTGCCCAAGGACACACAGCTAAAGCAGGGACTGTCGGATGTGAACTTAGTCAGTCTGAGTACCATGTTGTTAGGAAGTAGCTCCTTCTGGTTTGGGAGCTTACTGGCAAGGAGGACCCATCCTCAGCAATGGGAATGACCCTTCGCACCAAGAGTTTAAAGGCCAGGGCAGCCCATAAAGCAGCAACTGACTTTGAGGATGAATAGAGGTCATTGGAGCTGATTTTTCCTAAATTAAAGTTAACTGGAAGTTGAGAGGAGTCTGAAATAGCTATAACCCAATAGGCACTTGTATGGTGTTCTTATTATGCACCAAACACTGTGCTCAGGGCTGTGGGAAAAGCACAGATTCCAGCATTGGGATAGGGAGATAAACAAAAAACCCTTCACCTGCCGCTCAACCTCCTATGCCTCATTCATTCAACAAATACTCATTGAGTACCTACTGTGTGCCAGGCATTGTGCTGGGCACTAGGGACACAGCAATGAGCAAAACCTCTGCCTTTGTGTTGCTGACATTCTGGTGGGGAAGACACCAGATAAACAGGAAAATATATGTCAGGTGGTGAGAGAGTGCTATCTGGCAGAAGCATTCCAGGCAGAGAGAACAGTAAATGAAAAGGCCCTGAGTATGAAGAGCAAGGTGACTCCTCAAAGATGCGGCCCTCCTGGCTAGTTAGTGGCACCATCACCTACCCATTTTAAAACACCCTTATGTCTCTGATGGTGTCTTCCCTTATTTAAAAACCTCCACGGCTCCCATCATCTATAGGACAAAACATTGCACCTTGATCTGGTGTTCCAGGTCTTTCGAGATGGTTTCTCTCCCTGGTCCAGCGTTATCTCACCACACTCTGACTCGACAACAGCAATATACCACTCATTTACCGAGCACTCACTCCAGGTGCTGTGCCAAACACTTTCCTGCATCTCATTTAATCCTCAAGCAACCCTATGAAGTACATATTGATATTTAACTAATGAGGAAACTGAGGCTGGTGCCCAAGATCACCAGCTAGCAAATGGTGCAGCTGGGGTATGAATTCAGGCAGTCTGACTGCACACCCCACCCTCTTAATTACTACCCTCCATCACCTAGAAAAATGAAGGGATCATCAGACACGCTCAAGACTCCTACTTCAATGTAATTGTTACTTTTGTATTTAACCATATGAAATGCTTTGTCCCCATGGGAGCCTTACGGGCCTGAGTTTGAATCCCAGCTGTGGCTGTAGAAGTGTCAGAACCAGGTGGCTGCTGGAAAATGGGGGCAGGGGAAGAGGAGGTGAAAGCCTTCCCAATAGGTACACATGAGGGACAGTGCTTCCAGCCTCTGGCCAGTGGTGACTGGTCACCCATCTCTGTGTCCACTGCAGTGGAGGCTCATTTCTCCCACATACACAGGAAGGTCCACGCAGAGCAGTCTGAACTACCTGACCTCTTTCATATCACAACCCCCCTTTAGCAATTTAATGAAAGATATAACCCCTGGAAAAATGCACAGATGTGAAAAAAAATTACATATACTTTCAAGGGGTCACAGACCCCACCAGGAACCCATAAACTCCAGGTGTAGTGTCAGGAGGCAGTGTGGGTCACTGTTTAGGCTCCAGGGCTCTGGCGGACAGAGAGAAAAAATTTGGATCCTGGCTCCCCCACCCACTAGCTCTATGACCTTGTTATAGGGCTTTAACCTCTGTGAGCCTCAGCCTTAACATTAAGATGGATAATTACACCCACTTCATGTGCTGCTGGGAGAACCAACAGAGACACTGCAGGAAAGGGGTTAGCCAGGCCCAGCACAGTGACGAGCAGTCAGTAAATGGGGACTCCCAGTATTTAAGGAAATAAGTGTGGTCCAGGACAACCCGCACCAGAAACCCATGTGGGAACTTGTTGAAAGGCAGGTTCCTGGGCTTCCCGGCCTGAAAGTCTGATTCTGCAGGTGTGGGATGGTCAGGAGTCTGCCTGGGAGACCAGGCCCTGCCTCCCAGTTGTGACGGGCGTTAGTGTGGGAAGCATTATGCCTTTCCAGCCTCCACAGTCCGGGTCCCGGTGGGCTGAGAAGAGCAGACAACAGGTGCAGTGGTGGGGCAACTTTGCGTCTCTGGGTGCCCCTCGGCGCCCTCCTCCCGCTACCGGCTGAGCCCAGGCTACCCCACCCCGTCCGCTCAGGTGGGTCGTGGCGTCCCACGGCGTCCCCCTCGCTGCACCCTACGCGAGGCCCAACGCCCTCCAGGCCAGGCTGCCACCGGGAGGGGCGAAGGCAAAGGGCCTCCCGGGAGAGGGGATAGAATGGAAAGTGAAACCCATCCGCCCAGACTTTCGCTTTCGTCGCCTCCGCGCTCCATCCAGGTGGCCCTGTGATCCCCGGACGCGCGCAGGTCCAGTCACCGCTCACCCCCCGCTCCCGGCCGAAACATTGCGTCCCCACGGCAGGCGACCCATGGCGGGAGCCGGGGGTCCTCTGCGCCTCCGCGACTGGCTGGTGGCACAGATCGAGAGCGGGCGCTACGCGGGGTTGCGCTGGGAGGACGCGGGCAAGACCCTTTTCCGCATCCCCTGGAAGCACGTAGCCAAGCAGGGCTACCAGGTGCAGCAGGACGCGGCGGTCTTCAGGGTAAGGCGACAGAGGACTCGGGACACGCATGGCCCCAGGGCCCGGACGACCTAGGAGCTGTGCGACCTTGTGTCAATTTCGCTTGGCCTCTAGGGTTGAGGGTAGTGTCCACCATATATAGGAGACCCTCAGACACCCTCTTAAAACAGAGTCGGCCAGGCCTGCGGTGACCGGCACTGTCTGCACCTCTTCTCCTACTCCAGGGGGAAATTAGACTGGGAATTCCCTCAACCTCCCGCCCCCAAAACTGCTAACTTCTGCAGCTTGGGAACCTGTCTGTGCTCCCAACACCAGCTCTGCTTAAGGACCTCCTGTAAGGATGACCTTCCTTTCCCTGGCCATCGTTAACCTTCTCCAAACTGGCTCCTTTTCATGAACATTTGAACTCTGGAATCTCTCCCCTGAACGATAAGCAGCCACCCTAAACATGGAAGTCACCTCCAGCTCCTCCTCCTCTGGCCTCGCCTCCTCTTTCATGGTGTGAATCCCTTGGAGAGTCTCCTCCTCCCTAACCCCCTTCTTCTAGCCTCCCCAGTCCCCTCCCCAGTCTGGCTTCTGTTCCTCCTGCTAATACATCTCTAGTTGCCAAATCCAAGGGTGGACCACTGTCTTCATCTTCCTTGACTCCTGGGTGGGTCCGCACCTGGTGGACCCTCCCTCCTCCTTGGAAACACTCTCAGTTGGTTTTCAGAATCTCTGCTCCTACCCCCATTTTTCCTCCTACCTCCCAGGCCCTTGCTTCTCAGCCTCCGTCCTGTCCCCTCCTCTGTTGGGGCTCCCAACACGCACTCCTGGACCTCCCTCCTCAAGTTCCATTCTTGCCCTCCATGGCCTCAGCATAGAGTCTCTGGGCTTCCCCTCCAAGCCCCAAGCCTGCTGGTCTAGCTGCGTCCCGGGGATTGTCTCTTGGATGGTCTCCAGGCCCCTCAAACTCAGCACATCCTCAATACCACACTCATCTACCTGCCCCCACTAACTTCTGCCACCTGGGTACCAGGACCAGAGCCAGGCACCTAAACCCTGGCCGCTCCCCCTCTTCCAACCTCATTCTACCCCATTACCAAGGCCTGCTGCTGGCTCTCCCTGCAGACTATCTCTTTAGTCCAGCTACCCGAACCCATCTCTACCTCTCTCACAGGACAACTGAAGTGACCTGCTGGGCTCCCTCCTTCCCCCAGTCCCTCAGCAACCCCTCAGTCCTCCAGAGGCATCTTTCTAAATGCAAATCTGGTCTCGACACTCCTCCACTCAGAATCCTCCTATGGCTCCGCATTGCTCTTGTGGTAAATTCCCAACTCTTCACTTCAGCGTCAAAGCCCTGCATGAAATGTCCCTCCCTGGCCTCGTCTCTCTCCACTTCCTCCCCTCTGCAATTTCAGTTCTTTCCATTTCTAAATGCTTCATGTGTCTACCACCATCAGACCTTTGGACACGCTGTTCCTTCTGCCTGCAACACCTTCTCCTCTTCGCCTTCACTTGGCCATCTCCCATCGTCCTCAGCTGAAACGTCTCTTCCTCAAGAGAGCCTTCCCTGATACTTTCATTTATTCAATGCATTTATTAAATTCCAACTCAGTGTCTCTCCAAAGTCATCCCTGACTCCTTCTTCCCCCATTAGAAACATTTCCCCTATGAATTTTATGTGCCTGGTATGAGTCTTTGTCCTCCAGCAGACCATGAGCTGCTTGAGGATGGTGACTCTGAGCACAGTGCCTGGCACACAGTAGGTGCTCAGTAAGCACTCAGTAAGGGTGGTTGCATGGCCTGTCTCTTAAAACTTACACGCTGCTGTTCATAGGGAGATTCTGGGGGCTGGCTCTCCCCATATTTCTAGCTGCTCTGACCCATCCCTAAATCCACCACTGACACATACATGTGACTCTTTGGCTCCTAACCCTTCTGGAGCCCCAAAGCCCATGGGATACAGCTTGGCTTTCGAGGACATTGTAGATCTGGCTTCAGCCTATTGCTTCTTCCTTAATTCGTGTATCCTTTTCTCCCACGACATACAGTTGATCTTCCTTATTTGTGGATTCCATATTTGCAAATTCTCCTACTCGCTAAAATTTATTCGTAATCCCAAAATCAATATTTGGGTCATGTTTGCAGCCATTCATAGCTAAGTGCAGAATGGCAAACAATTTATCACCCAACAGGAACATTCAAAACTGAGGTCAGACAAGGCAACTCTCTGCCTTCTTATTTTGTCTCTCATACTGTAAACAAGTGCCCTTTTTTGCAGTCTATTAATGCCACTTTAAAAGATGTATTTTTTTTTTTTGAGCTTTTTCTTGGTGACTTCACTGTGTAAAATGATCCTCGAGCACACTGCTGAAGAGCTGTCTAGTGTTCCTGAGTGTGGCAAGGCTGTGATGTGCCTTTTGGAGAAAATGTATGTTCGACAAACTTTGTTCAGCCATGAGATATAGTGCTGTTGACCACTAGTTCAAGTTAATGAATCAACAGTATATATTAAATAAAGTGTCCTTAAACAGAAACACATAAAACAGGTTATATATTGATCTGTTGATGAAAACGGTGTGACCAAAGGCTCGTAGGAACCTAGTCCTGTATTTCCCCTAGGAGCAACAGTTCTGTATTTCCTAAGTCAATGTTTGCAGAGACTTTATAGAACATAACTACTGTGAATAACGTGAATCGACTGTACACGTACCCTCAGACACACATACCCAGCAACAGCAACGCCAGGCTGCTCGCTGCTCCCTGAATGCACCATGCCCTTCCACACCTCCAGGCCTCTGCTCAAGCTGTTCCCTCTGCCAGGAGTGTCATTTCACCTCTCAACTTCCTACTCACCCTTTAAGGCCTGGCTCAATTCATTCAACATTCATTGAATGTCTCCTGTGTAGCAGGCACCATTCTGCTTGGGGGCAGAGCAGTGAACAAGACGAAGATCCCTCTTGTCATGCTGATAGTATCTTGTTACCTTTGATTTAGAGTATCTTTTTCTGGGGAGGGGGATAGCTGGCCATTAGGGGATCCAAACCCTTGACCTGGGTGTTATAACACCACGCTCTAACCAACTGAGCTAACTAACCATCCCTAGAGTATCCTTCATATGAGGATACTTCAAGAAGTTCATGGAAAGATTCATGTTATCTTTTAATTTTATTTTTCCGTAAACTTTTTGAAATACCTTCATACAATGAATAAATGCTGTAATAAATAAGCACCGACTGTGTGCCAGGCACTGTGCTAAGCACATTACATACACCAGCTCATCTTACACCCACCACAACCACATGAGTTTAGGTATTATGGACACCTACGCACAACATTTACAGACAACAAAATTAGGCCTCAAAAGGTCTTGCCCCTGGCACTGACAAAGGATCTGTGGCTTTTCTGTTTCGGTGTCTATGTTTCCACTAGACCTGGAGTCTCTGAAGACAGTGATTGAGTGCAATTCATCAGTTAAGTCCCTCTTGGCCCTGGATGTGCTAAATGTAAGCAATATATCTCTTAGTGGCTTCAAAGGTGACCACACTGCTCCAGACACACTGCCCTTGCTCAAATTTATCAATCTCTTTCCCACCTCAAGTCCTTTGCCCTTGCTGTTCCTCTTATCTAGAACACCCTTCCCCCAGCTCTTTGTCAGGCTCCATTCTTTTCTTTCAGACTTCAGCCAATGTCATTTCCTCAAAGAGGCCTTTTCTGATCACCCTCTCTAAAATAGCCCCTGATTTTTATTTTTATTTTTATTTAGTTAGTCCCTCTACTATAACACATGATCCTTCCAATGTGCTTAATGAATACCTTTGGTTTGTATGTACTCTTGCAAAGCGGGCATTGCTGTTTTGTGCATGTTCTTACTTTGTGCACATCCTACTGTGTTGTAGATCTCGTGCTGTCTTACTTTTTTTTCACTCACAACCGTGCTTTGAAGATCTGTTCTTGTCCTCTGTAGATCTAATCTGTTGCTTCTAGATGCTGCGTAGACACTACAGTGGGCATCCGTCACATTCACACCTCCATCCACTTTCCTAGGGATAGACACAAGTTTGCTTCCAACTCCCAGTACCACAAACAATGCTGCTGTGGATTTCTCCAACCAGGAACCCCTCTTAGGAACCCCTGTGAGAATTCCTTTGGAATTGGGATTTCTGTTCCCAGGTCATGTTTATATTATTTCATTTGACTAGATTACCATCCAGCAGCACTGCTCCCACTCCATGCCCACCAGCAGTCTCCGCATCCCCACCAACTCCTGGCACTATCCAACTTGCTCAATTTAGTCAGTTTAGAGGTGATATCTCACATTTTTATTTGCATTTCTCTGACACTAATAGTTTAAGCACCTCCTCATATGCTCATGGGCTTCTGTAAACCATCAATCAATTACTATCCTTTGATAAGAATTTTTTCTTTAGGGGATGCTGTTTCTTGTTGATTTGCAGAAGTTCCTTGTATGTTCTGGATCTTAGCCCCTTGCTGATTTCAGCCTCTGTAATTTTTTTCTTTTTCTTTTTTGCCTTATGGTTCATGCCTTTTAAGTTTCCTTTAAGAAGTGTTCTCTGCCCCAGCTTTTCTCCTTTATAACTCTCTATTGATTTTATAGCTTTACCTCCTACCTTTGGTTTTCTTAAATCATCTGGGGTCTACTTCGTGTGTGGAAATAGGTAGGGATTTAGTTTTATGGCTCTCCAGATAGCAAACCACTGCCGTTATTTTATATCCCATCACCCTATTTATTTATTTTATTTATCACAATCCATAATTTGAAAAATAGTTATTTGTATTTAGGTGATTGAAGCTGTCTTCTCTCATTAGACTTGAGTTCCTTGAGAGCTGGGATCATGTCTGTCTTGTTCCCCATTCAATCCCCATCCCTAGCTCAGGTCTAGAACATAATAGGAGCTCAAAGAGTATCTGTTGGATGGAGGGAGGGAGGGAAGGAGGAAAAAGGGAGAGGGAGAGAGGGTGGGAGGCAAGGCAGCTCCTCAGCCCCTTGCATGGCACCAGCCCCCTACCGCAGCCATCCCTCCGCACCTTCCCCTGCTCCTCTCCAGGCCTGGGCCGTGTACAAGGGCAAGCACCTGGAGGGCACTGACAAGGAGGACCCCTCCACCTGGAAGACCCGGCTCCGCTGCGCCCTCAACAAGAGCGCCGACTTCCGCGAGGTCCGTGAGCGCAGCCAACTGGACATCTCCAACCCCTACAAGGTCTACCAGATTGTGTCTGATGCTGCCCATGGCCCAGGTACTATCCTGCCCCTGGAGGCAGTGGCCGAGGATGGATCCCTGGGTAGTAAGGACCTCACTTTGCTCACCTGTAAAATGGGAGGTGGTGGACTCAGTGAGCTTAAACTCATGGGCTGGTCGATTTAGAAGGACCCTTAGACCATCTCAACTTATCCCCCCACCATTTGAAAAGGAGGAAAATGAGGCCCAGAGAGAGAAGATAGGTCTTATCTGAGGTTATGCAGTGAGCTGGGGTCCTCTTGTCTGGGGTCACCTCAGTTGAGGGGGTTCCTCTTGGGGCCCAGGGAACAACAGGCTGCTCTTTCTCCATCCAGCCACCAGGGCCTGTGCTCCCCCTGAAGAGGAGGGCACTCCCCCGAGCCAGCAGGAACCCCCTGGGGAAGTGAGTGAGCCCACCCGCAGACCAGGCCAGGTCAGTGTGTCCTTCCAGCCCCTGCAGCCTTGCCAGCTCGGCCACCTGTCACCTGAGCCACCCATTGGCCCTACCCTCTCTGGCTGTGGTCTCCAGCACAGTCATTTATCTTATCCCTCCAGCAGCCCCAGCTCCATCGCTGTCCCCGTCCTCCTGCTGGCTCTACCTCTTGTTACCTCTGCTCCGTCCCTTCCACCATGCCCAGCTCCATCGTCCTGTTCACCTGGCCCCCTCACTCTGGCCATCAGCCCGTCATCTTCAGTTCCATCGCTCTGTCTGCATCAACCCTACTTTCTTCACACTCACCCCTCCCCTGTCATCCTTGGGCCCATCACTGTACCCCTGAGCACCCCATTGGACCCAGCTCCATCATGGTGCCCCCTTCACCTCCATCACCATGGGCTCCCTCACTGCTCCCGTCACCATCATCAGCTCTATCTTCATCACTCTGTCTATGTCACCTCTATGGTCTCCACCCCGTCACCATGTCCCCATACCTATGGTTCATTGCTATGCCCTCACCCCACCCCCATCAGCTCTGATCCATCCCACTGTCCCTAGTGCCCTCATCAGCATCCGTTCCATGGCTCTGTCCCCTCATCTCTATCAACTCTAGCTCCTTCACCTCCGCATTCACCCCCAGCTCTTCTCTGCCTGTCACAGTGACCCATCTCTGACCCTATCGCCTACAACTATCACCCCATCAACTCTTTGCCTCCATGGCGGGGGGCGGAGAGTCATGCCCTCTGAAACTTCAAAGTTCCTATCGACGCCAGCTGGCCTTCGATCTGCACAGACCTCCCTCTGCCCCTGTGGGGATAGTCTGGGAACTCCTGTGGCCCACGGGTCTCCTCTCCTACCCTCACAGCCCTCTCTCCCAATGCTCAGGATGGCTCCAGATTAGCCACACAAGATGAAGACAAGGAGCAGCCCCCCAGGCTGGCCCAGCAGGGTTCCTTGCCACCAGCCGCTCTCCTCCCATGCCCTTTGGCTGACCACAGTAAGGACTGGGTCTCCTTACCCACCCCTGCCTCCTCCTTGATCTAGGGATCGAGGGGCCAGGGTGAGGTGGTGCCTGGCTGCTTTCTTTCCTTCCCCAGGGTACCAGGCACGGGGTCCCGAACACCTCTGGAGCCTGACACTCTCGGAAGACTTCAGCAACCCTGGTAAGGAACCTAAAGGCTATACCCTCTGACCAGTGTACAGAACTGAGCAGGGCCCGGGGATGAGGCCAGCTAGCCTCTGTCTCCCACCCAAAGCACCCTGCCCAGATTCCTCACAACAACCACAACAGCAGCTAACATTTGCTGAGGGCTTAGTTTACACCAGGCATCCTTCTAAGCACTCCCCACAGCCCTGTGATGCTGCTGCTATCCCCACTTACATAGGCAGAAACTGGGACACAGAGGTTAAGAACCTTGCCCAAGGTCGCACTGCTAGTAACCCTGGAAAACTTACTAACAGGTCACAGTTCCTAAGCTGCAATGAGAGAACAGAATCCAGGTGCCTGCTACAGAGCCCCAACCACTGAGCTGCACCACTGCGCCTCGTATGGGAGGCTGCTGTTACGTTGTTGTTATTGCTGTTGCTGTTGTTATTATTTCTACAAGCATTAAAATCTTTGCTGGAAGGAAGCTCCTAGAATCCCAAAGATCTGGGCTGGGAAGGCCTCAGGGTCATGCCCTTATTATATAGACGGCCCCAGAGCCCGTGCTTTTAACCGCACAGCTCGACTACCCGCTCATTTATACCGCAAGCTATTATTCACGACGACGACTAGTACTACTACTAGGTTATATTATCTCTGGGAAGCAGCGCCCCAAATTCCCGCGGTTGGGGGCCGGGAGGATCTCCGGGTCCCCTGCCCGCTGTGACGTGGGGGACGCCGGGCCCACGCCCCCTCTGTCCCCGCCCCGGTAGATTGCTGGCTGCACGTGCGACTCTTCTATGGCGCGGCGCTGGTGCACGAAGCCACGGCGCGCGC